CCCCAGCCCTGCGTGGGCCCCCTCGCCCCCAGCCCTGCGTGAGCGTGCCGCCATCACGGCAGTCTGCACTGTCTTCCTCCCTGGCCACCTTCCAGTGAGCCACGTCCTTCTCCCTCTGACAGACCCTCCAAAGGCCTTACACACCCCATCCAATGGTGAAATGCCACCCCGAGGCATGGGGTCTGCATCATCCTGAAGAATGTAAGAAGTTGGATGAGCCGTGGGAAGTATGTGTAAGTTCATTCCCTAGGGGTACCCAGTGGTTAACAGGAGACAGGGAAGGTCTGGGCAGATAAACACCCTTCTCTCCATCGACATCTCCAAGGTGCCTTTTATCCGCCTCGCCATCGTGCTGTGTGAAGCAGGCCAAAAAAGCCAGGCAGCCCACACAGCTTCCCACCACTCCCCATGAGCAACTGCCACCCCCATCTGGCCTGTGCCTCCCGCCTGCCTCTCCCAGCCCAGATGTGCTACTGTTCCTGTGGTTCGGCTTTGTAAGGTGCTGCGGAAAAGCTTCATGTCCATTTGACTCTTTTTCTTAAGTGAGTTGGTCTTTACGGCCTTAATTCCCAGAATGTTTATCTTTACAGTCCAACAGTCAGATCGCAATGTCTCAGTTTACTCTTCTGGACTTATCTCCTAAGCATTCTTCCAATACGGTAGTCCAGGCTTCCTTTTATTGAACAGGATTAGCTTGAAGTTTAAAGTATTAGTTGGACTCCAGAGCTGCCGTTTCTCCCCATAGGTGCAGCGGCATGCAGGCCGCATCTTTCCGCTCAGCTGTCTGTTTCTGCCTGGTCTTTCTTCCCCTTGGCTTGCTGACACCTCACGGGCTCTGGCCCTGACTGCAGGTGCATTCCTGCCTCTGCCTGGACCTAGATTGAGAGAACCTGCTTCTGCTTCAGGTCATTTCCTGAATTTAGTCAGCTTCCAGTTTTTATTTTCACGCTGTCCATTTACATGCTGGATTTTTAAATTTCTGATTCACGGTGCTGCTGCTTATTGAAATGTGTGCTTAATTCATGGTGGAATTTATCACAGCTTTTTCTCTTTTGTTTACATCAACGGAAAGGTTTTAATTCTAATTTTGTTTTCATTTCTAAAATAACTTTGTGTGGATAGTGCTTATCCTTTTCTATTCAGGATCATTCATGTTGGGATTCCCTAGACCAGGAAGAGCAGACCACGGCCTGAAGGCGAGGGGGCTGGTGGCTCCCTAGACGCCTTCCTGCAACAGTGCTGCATCGCATCCTCATCTTCGATGTCACTGAATTCCTTCAGCAACGCCCAAGGGCTGTCTTCATGGCGTGTTGCATCATGGCCAGGGATCCCTCGGCAGCTGGGAGTGCGCAGCCCTCCGGTGCCACCTCCTGATGCACCTGACCACAGCTTCCCGCAGGTGCGCGCCCCCCAGCGGCTAAGAGGAGACAGGACAGGTTTGGCATGATAAGCCCCTCGCCACTCCTCTCTCCTTGGACTCTGCGACTCTGGGGATATCTGTCCTTGCACCTGCCTGGGGAATGACTCATATACCCTGAATGCACCTGCCAGTGAGCTGCAGCACCTGCTCGTGGCTCTTCGTGGTGTCTTCCCAGGTGCCATGCCAAGAACAGCGCTCCCTGTTGTGGATGTCGTGAGATGCAGCTTCTGTAACGAAACCAATCTTTCGGGTTTTCTGTCTTCTGGATTCTTGATATCGTTTTGCTTCTGCAGGACTCTAATCTTCTGAAATTTTCTTCCTTCACCACTGAGCATCTGAGGTGCACTGTCTTTCTGCTCCTCACCCTTCAGGGGCAGGGCCATTCCAAGAAGGTGGCCCTGGGAGCCCAGTCACACCCTGGAGTCCTGCTCTTCCCGCCAGGTCTCAGCTCTCTCCTCACAGCCTCCAACCTGTGTGGCCACTGTCGGCCACTGTCCCCCTCTCAGGGCAGGCTGGCTCCCCGCCGCCCAGTGAGCCCGGCCCTGCCAGCTGGGGCCGAGTACGCTCACACTGAGCCTGCCACCTGCATGTCATAGGCCTGGCTCTGGGCACTTGTCCCCCTTCTGAGGCTCTGTGTGGCTTTAGAAAGGTGTGCGGATATTTAGATTTACATAGCTAGCATGCTCTGGCTCACACTCTAATTTTTTTTAGAAACAAAATACATTTTGGTAAGGAAATAGCCAGGAACTACTTCTGTCAGTGGAAATAGCACTTGTTTTCCAAAACTGGGTTACCCATAGAGGTCTCCTGGTAGAATCCATAAAACCCAAAGCAGGGGAGTGTGCCAGGTATGACCCACACATGTGCACCCTCTCCCGAGGCTGGGAGACACTGCAGCAGCTGAGGGGCCGCTGCCCAGCCCAGCTACACCCTCACGGAAGCTGGAAACAGCCTCAACTGCCCCAATTCGATGCAAATAAATACTTGAGACTTAAAGTAAATTATTCAGTCACAATATCCTAGTGATTCAAAATCGGCACAGGCACTGTGTCAGTTGGTCAGCCCCAGCAGGCCCGGCTGGCCACCTGCAGGACGTCGCTGTGGGACGCCATCGCCACTATGGGCCTTGCCAGAGAAACAGGAGCGAATCAGTCCACCAGTGAAGCGAGCAAGTGGACACGTCACTATTTGCCTGTTCCCTACATTTAGTTATTGTGGTCTGGGGGGCTGTCTTCTGGGCAAATGGAGGGCCACTGCACCCAGGTCACCTTTCGTGTGGCTGCACGGATTATTCCTGTGGCACCATCTGTTCATTACAACAGGACATGGCCCGCTCTGGGTCATGTGGTCTGCCTGATTCCCCCGCTGTGGGACCAGGTGTGGGGGACTGAGCGGTGGTGGGGGCCCTGTGCTGGCGGAGACGTGTGTGTATTGTTTGTGTGTGTGGTGGGGGACAGGATGCACACAGATTCATAAAGAGGTGCCTCCGACAACATCTGTCACTTGGGAGGGAGGCGTGGGGACCAGAACCGGGGCCGGACTGTGATGAGTGGAGGACCTTTGGGAAGTCTCGAGTCCTACGGTGGCTGCCCTGAACACACATAAAGGCAAGAGGGAGCCATGGAAAGTTGCAGGTAGGAGATTAACAGGTACACCAAGGCCAGCCACCCTCTCTGGCCACTCACAGGCTGGAGGGAGCCTACCTGAGCCCTCCTTCTTGTCTGTGCCTGCTTTCCAGCCGCTCAAACTCCTCCGAGGCCAGCACCATCCCACTGTCTGTCTGGTTGTCCTGTGTGGGGAGAACAAGTCAAGATCGTGGGCCCACTTAGGCAAAGCCTATCTCAAAGGATGTCACATGTGACCTGTGACCTAACACCTGTCCTGTGAACCAAGTCTGAAATGGGTCTGTTCTGCCAAAAGAGTGTACAGAGGGAGAAACTGAGGCTGGGGGCACATGGGGTACTATGCTTGGTCTGAACTCAAGAGGGTCAAAGCTGGGGGAACTGTAAAGTGACCCAGGGCCCAGCACAAGTACTGGGGAAAGCAAGAAGCTAGCAATAGAATCTGGCTTAGCCAGATACACCCAGGCTCCATGGGGCTGTCTACCTGTGGTCATGTGTGACTCAGTGAATTCCTTGGTGGGCAGGTGCACTCCGTGGGCTTGGGGCCTCTGGCCTGGGGACACAGCCCTTGTCTGTGTAGCTCTGGCCCAGGGCTCCCACCACTGCCCCCACTGCCCTGCCTCAAGGGCCAGCTCTATTGGGTGGACCAGAAGGTTCCAGACTGTGTGCCACTGAATTTGGTTGCGAGGCTCCGTCTTTGCTTTAACAGAGCGCGCACATTCTGCTGCATTCTGCTCGAGGATGAAGGCTGTGCTGTGCCCACCCTCCTCCTCCTGGACACAGGCTCCGCTCCGGCCACAGGGCTGGCACCCTGACTCTGATCTGAGGCCCACGAGGAGAAAGAGCGCTCCACTGGGGTTTCTGTGCTGCTTAGGGAGGGGCTGTATGAGTGACAGGGATGCCAGAAAAAGCAGCAGTGAATTGGGACATCATGCCAGCTCCCACGCCCCAGTCAGCCCAGGACTTGCCATCTCAGGGAACAGTGGGTGCCCTTCCTGTGGGAGTGGGTGTGAGCTGGTTCTGCTGCTTGTTTCAGGAGTTCTTCATGTCTTCTTAGCCCTAGAGCCCAGGACCCTGATCTGGAGCACACCCTCACTTACCACTGAGGCCTTGTAGGTTGTTGGGGTCATGGGAAATTCTTCAAACGTTTTCATTCTAGAGGGACCCGGAGTCTGGGTACCTCTGGCCAGGCACCCCGGAAAGGACACACAGTTATAATATCTGGGGAGAAATAATATCTCATGCTTGGAAGAAAAGTATGCCCCAGCACCCTACTGAAAGCACTCTCCACCTCGCGGCTGCCTCCTCACTCCCAGGGAGGGGACTGAGAGCTGGTATGGGCTCAGCCCTGCCCCCTGCCAGGAGCTGGGCCTTGTCTCCCTGTGAGGACTGAACCTCCTGAGGCCACAGCTGGGGAGGTGTGAGGGTGAGTGCAGAGTTCTCAGTCCAGAGTGGCTGTCTCTCACCAGGCTTCACCCAAGCAAGACAGAAAGTCCGGTGCCACACGTCACCGTCTGGCCGGTGTGTGTGCATGCGTATGTGCACACACGTGTTCACACACATTCATTTGTGTGTGTACTTGCATGTGCATGTGTGTGGGTTGGGGGGTCGGTGGAAGGTGCCTGGCCCTACCCTGAGGTAGGTGGGGCAGGGCGTCTCCAGGGGAAACGTGGATGGCAAGACCTTCCTGGAGACTGAACGGCCCTGAGCAAGGCCCAAAACATTGCCTAGACTGCTTTAAATCCTGATTGTAAGTTGGGGGTGGCCTGTTCTGCTCCCAGGGCCCCTGATCATGGCTCTTGGGACTGGACACCTCACTCTGCTGCATTTTCCTTTCTCTCCCTGTGATGTGGAGCTGCCTAGGGCACTGTGCCCAGGTTGGGCGTTCCATCAACTGCAGGGCGAAGACTTGAGGGTCTGGGGGTCCAGGCAAGCAGAGGGCAGAAGAGAAGGATGGAAGAGGAACAGAGAAGAAAAGCAAGGTCAAAGGACCACATGGCCTAGGAGGGGCCCCAGAGGCCCCCCAGGGCACCCCTTATGACCAGCATTGTAATTTAAAATCATTTTACTCTGGGTAAGTATACAGTGGTCTCAGCCTTGCTAGTTTGCTTTTCTGGGTAAGTGATGAGGATGAGGCTTATGACATGGAAACTTCTTCCCTCCTTCCTGAGGGAAGAGGAGCCCTGGGCCTGGGAGGGAGGCTGACCTGGCAGCCAGGCTGTGCCGGTGCAGGCGGGGTGGGCTGTCGTCAGCATCAGCGTCGGCCTCAGCGACGTGCAGGGCGGTGGTGGACGTCTGCAAGAAACTGCCCTCCTCCAAGCTCTGAGAGCCACAGGGGGCCATGCAGTTGTCATCCTCCTGGGAGGAGTGGAGAGGTAGCCAGGGTCAGAGGCCATAGAGGCGCCGGCAGCCCCCATGGGCACTCAGTTCTGCACCCCCAGCCCCTGGAAGTGCACCCTGCGAATGTGCAGATCTGTGCGCCCTCTGCCTCCTGCCTGCTGTCCTCCAAGCCGCCCTCCCAGAAGCCACATGGATGCCCCCCACCCCCGCAGACACAGCAGGAGGCTCTCCGCAGCCTCGGGACCAGCAGCAGCCCCTTCCACTCTGCTTGGGGGAGAACTGGCCTCGAAGAGCCCAGCTCCCAAGAGCCCAGCCCCAGCTCCAGAGTCCAGGGCAGCTGCTGCTCCCTGCTTACTGTTCTAGACTCCAGAGCAGTGGCATGGCCCTGAGCTGGCTTAGTTCCTTTCCCAACCTCAGGAGCACAGAGTGGGGAAGGAGACACAAGTCAGTGAGGCAGAGGCGGTGAGGCAGAGGCGGTGAGGCAGTGGCACAGGCAGGGAGATGGAGGTGAAAGGTGGCATCATCTTCTGTGGGGACAGGAGCTGACTTGCGACCCCCCTGTGCGCCAGCCTGGGCTTATGGGCAAAGACAGACTCTGACCGTGAGCACGATGGCCCAGACTGGTTAGTTGGCATGCAACAGAGCAGGGTGGAATGGGGCTCACCTGCCAGCCCCCACCCTGGAGCAGGTCCCCCAGGATCTCCACCAGCTCAGAGAACGCAGGCCTCTCTTTAGGGTCTCCGGACCAGCAACTCAGCATGACACGGCGTCTGCAGGGAAAGTGGCAGCGGGTCTGTGGCCTGAGCCTACTGCCATCCTGTACCAGTGGACCCCAGCACCCCGCTAGCTTTGCCCCCACGGCTCCCAGGGCTCAGGCACCTTCTGCCTGGAGGGGAGGCAGAGGAGGGGTGGACAGGTGGGTCAGTGGGGACCGCACCCGCAGACTGCCACCCTCACCCTGTGCCTGCAGAGCCTGTGCCTGCTGCCCTGCTGACTCCTGCATGCCCCCACTTCCCATGCCCACACACAACACCCCTTCCCTGCCCACCCAACTCTCCAGCCTCCCAACACCTGCATGGTCAGCTGCCAGGAGACTTACATGGCAGGAGAGGCCAGCTCTGGGGTCCTCATCCGGGTACCCTCTTTCAGCCGCTGGCAGAACTCCTCATTGATCTGCACTCCCGGGTATGGGGAGGCGCCTGAAGGCAATAGGATGGGGTGGGTTGGGGGTGTGCTCAGCCCAGGCCCCTGAATCGCCTTTGCTCTGCGCGCCCCATGGTAAGATGCTTGTCCAGATGCTCCTCTGGGATGAGACACTCTCTTCCCCCAGAGCTCATCAATGTGTTAACACGGAGCGCAGATCAGCAGGAATGGGGGACCTACATGGGCCACCCGAGGTTGTGCCTGCCACGATGACCCCTCTTTGGACTCTGCAAACATGCACCAGACTGGACAGTCCTGGTCCTACTCCTCACACAGCTCCTATGGCCAAGTTGCAGGGCGGTGGGGAAACCTCTCAAGACAACAGCCAGAATGCGCTCCCACTCAGAGCCCTGCTCTGCTCCATGACACTTAAGTTCCAGGTCCTCACCCCGGGACCCACAGGGGCTGTGGGGACACCTCTCCTCTCACTGCCCTGCCTGCGAGCAGGGACCTGGCTGCCCTTGCCCCAGATCATTGTTTCCCAGTCCCAGAGGCCTCTATCCACCTCCCCCATCAGCCAGGCCCGTCAGGCCTCGCTCACACACAGCCCTCCCCTCCCAACAGTGTTGTTCAAGCTCTTTTGTTCTTAGTCTTAGCAGCATTGTCATCAGGTGCGTTCACGTCTCTTGTCCAGGCCCTCAGCTCACTTTAGTGTAAGGACTTCATCTCGGCTTTCGAGTGCCCAGTCTCCCACACGGGACGCACATAAAAAGGCTGAGCGAGCCCCCAGCTTCTCCCCTGCCCCGTGAAGGCAGGAGCAGCACCCTCACAACATGTGGAGAAGGCCTAATTTCCCCTCCCCCGGGGCCTCTGCTATTCTCTGGTCCCTCAGGCTCCTCCTCTTCTCTGTGCTCTCTGGGGAGCACTCATTCCCTTCCTACGCTCCAAACCCCCAGTCGAACCAGCTCCCCAGGAACCAGGTCCCCGCATAGCCTCATCAGGCCCAGAGAGCCCACCCTGGAAGCTGGGTGCCACTCCTGATGCCGCCCCGGCCCCTGCTGCCTCCCGCATTCCGTCTCGCTCCCTTCAATGGCCTCTACCTGGGGGCCCTGAGGCCGTCACCCTTCCAGCATGTCCACCCTACTCCCCATGGTCGCAGGGGGATGTACGCCAGGGAAAGGGAGGCTCTGGGGATCCCTGTGAGCCCGGGTCTGCCCCAGTGAGCGCAGGGCTCTGCCCCAGCACAGGTGGGCACTCACTGCCCTCCAGAGGTGGTGTCGGGGCTGCGCTAGTTCTAGAGGCCAAGGGCAGGGGAAGGGCTCCCCGACTCCCGGCTTCAGAATGGCTTGTGCAGCCGTGCCTGCTCCCCTGTGCCGCAGGGGCTGATGGGAGACCTGGAGCAGGATCCCCTTCTCCTGCACGCTGTCTTGCACTCACCCAGGGAGAAGATCTCCCAGAGAAGCACCCCAAAGGACCACACGTCACTCTGTGTAGTGTACACCTTGTCGAAAATGCTCTCAGGCGCCATCCACTTCAGGGGTAGCCGGGCCTGCAGGGACAGAGGGCATTGTGTTGCTATGTGGGAGAGATGGGCACTGGTCCCAAGTTTGCCCGGGCCCTGGAGCCATGCCCTAAGGAAGGTTTTTGGGCCACACTCACCCTGTGTTCAGATGGCTGCTGCAATTTGCTGCAACAAATTTCCCCTCCCCTGGTGCCTCTGCTATTCTCTGGTCCCTCAGGCTCCTCCTCTTCTCTGTGCTCTCTGGGGAGCACTCATTCCCCTCTTATGCTCCAAACCCCCAGTCGAACCAGCTCCCCAGGAACCAGGTCGCATAGCCTCATCAGGCCCAGAGAGCCCTGGAAGCTGGGTGCCACTCCTGATGCCGCCCCGACCCCTGCTGCCTCCTGCATTCCGTCTCGCTCCCTTCAGTGGCCTCTACCTGGGGGCCCTGAGGACCGTCACCCTTCCAGCATGTCCACTCTACTCCCCATGGTCTGCAGGGAGAATGTACGCCTGACCTCACCCTCACATGTCCCCCATACTCCTGTGGGTTAGGGTAAAGAGCACAAGCCTTCCCCTGGCTCAGATGCCTCAGGAGGCCATGAAGGTCCCTGTAGATGTAGGCCCTCTGCCTTCCTTGGGTCCTGCACCCTGTTTCTTGACAGAGGTCCAAGCCCTGCCTCCTGCCTCCATCCTCTCTTCATGGCCTGTACTCACGCTGCCCTTTCGAACATAGTCAGGGTCTTTGTAGATGTCCCGGGCCAGGCCAAAGTCACAGATCTTCACTATGTCACTTTCAGACAACAAGATGTTCCGAGCAGCCAGGTCTCTGTGGATGCACTAGGGGATGAAGAGGTTTGCGGGGGTGGTCAGTGCAGGCCCCAGGGCCGGCCCACATGTGGGACTCCTGCTGCCTGCCAGAGCTCTGCTCCTTCAGGCACAGATTTCTGTGTACCCCGAGGATTTGCCATGGAGAGGGCAAGTGGAGTTGATACAACACTTTCTAATTGGAAGAGACACCCTCCCCCTGTCCCCCGCCATTCTGCTGCCACCCATTGACTAGCCAGAGGCCTTGAGAAGTCACTTCTAGCCTTCGGGCTCAGCTTCCTTGTCTCAGTGGGACCACACGCCTTGACTGCAGGGTCACTGTGAAGTGAGTTAGGCCTGCACATCTTGGGCTGTTGGTAGATTTGTGCCCTCTCCTTGCTGAAGGGCCTGCTGGGAAGCTCACCTTTCGGGAGGCCAGGAACTCCATCCCTCGAGCCACCTGGAAGCTGTAGCAGACAAGGTCTTCCATGGTCAATGGGCTCAGCCACAGGTCCTCGGCTGCACAGAGGACAAGATGAACTCAGGAGGAGAATGCCTCCTTGGCTCCATCACCAAAGCCCAACTCCCGCAACCCTTACTCTGGCTGGGCCCTTGGGCACACATTAACAAATATATATGCTCCATCTCTGCTGGGTGGCCTCCAGCCTCCGTGACACCCACTTACTACTACCAGAATAGTAAATTTAATCGCATCACTGGATCTGTGCACCTGCTACTACTCTCCCAACTGTTAAGGTAAACCTAACGATTCAATGATATGAAAACCAAGTATCAAAAGTCCCTGATGTCAAAAGTCCTTCCATCCTGAGATACAGTCCATTAAGTGCTCCCTCGCTGGGGTCCCTGGCTCATGAGGTATCATCATGCCAGCCCGGCATCTTGAGCAAGGAGAAACCAGGCTCTTACCTTCCTGGACAGGAAGAGTCCGCCCGGCCCCACCCTTGCCCATGAGGAGCCGCGCGAGGAGAGCTCTGTCACTGCTTCCGGGCCTCCTCCAGTCAGCCCTGGCGCTCTCCACCATAGCTCGGAAGCGCCTCCGCTGCTCGGGGGACTTCTCCTGTGGATGCACAGGGTGGGTCCCAAAGGGGTCACCACCCACAGAAACACTCCCTCCAGGCCACCTTGTTGACGCACCAGCTCTCCAACAGAACTTGGGCCCCTTGGGGGTGCCCACCTATACCTACCGCATAGGGGTTGAAGGTCTCTCGCTTGGCACGCAAGAAGTTGGAGAGGTTGCCATACTTGCAGAACTCCACGATTACCATGAGGGGGCCTGGGACAGGGCATAGAGGAGCCAGGGACTAGGTGATTCCACCGCTGGGGGCAAGTTTTGCTGCAATATCTCAGCTCAGTGCCTTCCCCACGCCCAGCCCCAACTGGTCCAAGGAGGAGGCCCCTCCCATCCGGGAACCAAGGAGCCCAAGGGTCTGGTTCTTAGCTGGGGCACCAGAGCTCCTACCGTTGGGCTTGGTGCACGCTCCCAGAAGGTTGACCACGTTGAGGTGGTTTCCAATATGGATTAGGATCTTGAGCTCTGACATCAGGGCACGGTGCTCGCTGGCTGTGGCGCCCTCTGGAGGGGACATAGGGGCTTCATGTAGTGCCAGACCTCCTGGCCTCAGCCCCACTCCCTGTGCCACCAGGTCACTGGCTGAGTTAAAGCAACGTGAGGGTGGGTGCACATGCCTCCCACCCTGCTGGGGCTTAGGGTTCAGGTGGGATTGGTATTACTGAGCTCCAGGCCCTGCGTGGCCTCCCCAGTAGAACCTTGCATGAGACCTGGTTCTGAGCCTCATTTCCCCGCCTATACCACCAGCCCACCCAGAACTGCTGCTCACCAGTGCCCTGCTCCTTCCATGCGCTCACCCCATACCTTTCAGCATTTTCACGGCCACAGTATCACAACTGCTACCCTTGTTGATGCCGAAAGCTGAGGCTTCCACCACCTTCCCGAAGGCTCCATGGCCAAGGACTCGCCCTGTGGGGGCAGGGAGCCAGTTCCAGGTGAGCTGTATGGGGGTGAGGGTGAGTGGGGTAGGTGGCATGGGGGCAACCTGTGTGGAGGGCCAGGAAGGAAAGCCTGGAGGGGATTGTGGAAAGTCAGGAGCCCCTCTGCCAAACAGGAAGAGCATGGGGAGTGGGAAGAGAGGGAGTGGAGAGGCAGACAGGAAAGTGTGCATCCTCTCCCAGCAGGTGTGATGGGCCCACCCTGTTCAGAGTAGCAGGAAGTGACCTCCAGGGCCTGGGAACTGGGAGCCCTGGTCTTGTTCTAGAGATCCATGCCCAGATGGACAAGTCAGGCTAGGTGGGGCCAGAGGACTTTCTGGCAAGAGTTCTGAGAATGGAAGGACTTAAAGCATGCTCTGGTTGAAGCCACCTCTGCCAGACAGGATGGGGTGGGTGGGGCAAGGTTGGGGGCTAGCCTCACCAAGGTGCAGCCGCTCCCGGGGGAATTCCCACTGGCTGGCATCATAGGACAGGTATTCGCACTGCTCCTCCAGAGGCACAGCCCCAGGGTCCATGATGATGGATAGGTAGCCAGTCTTGATGTCTGCGTGGGCTGGCTGGGGTGGGGGTGGGGACAGCTCATTCATTAGCCATACCACCTGGCTGGGCAAAGCTTTGTGGGGGACAGACGGGCTCTCCTATGGGACTCTCAAGGAGGGGACAAGAAAAAAGACAACCTCTGGTTGTCGGTTGTCTAGGAGCCCGGCATGGAGGGGTAGGGAGACTTCCTGGGAGATGAGACATCTAGAGGAGCTGGGATGGGAGCCTTACTTCTTATCTCAGGGAGCTAGCCAGGGTTGGAGACACCCCCCTGAGGAGCTGGGGAAAGGCTTTGTTGGGGGAAGAGCGCTCACCCTCCTCATATTACAGAAAATGAGGAGGAGGAGGACCCAGAAGAAGATGGCGATGACCCCGGTTCCAATGAGGATCACGATCTCCATACTGCCTTTATCCTCCGAACCTGAGCGGACAGAAAGGGGTTACTGTGTGGGATCGCGCCTCGAGCGGTGGCCACTAGAAGGCGCTAAATGTGGCCGCGCGCTGCGTGGTGGGCGCCGAGGGAGGCCGGACCTTCCACGGCCACGCTGGCGGAGGAGTTGACGCAGCCCTTGGCGTTGCACACGCTGCACAGATAGCGGCCCGCGTCTTCCTCGCGCACGCGCTGGATGCTCAGCTTCTGGTTCGAGTCTGCCAGGTCAATTCCTGCGGCGAGTGGGGTGAACGTTTGAGTTCAGGTGGGTCTGCAGGCTCTGGCCTCGCAAGCCTAGGTCCCCGCCCTTCGCCCAGGGCCACCCCACTACCGGACTCTTCCTCCAGCAGCCTCTCGTCTTTGTACCACACGATGCTGGGCATGTGCGCTCCTGCCACGGGGCACCGCATCTCCAAGGAGTCGCTCACGTTCACGAGGAGGTCGGTTAAGTTCTGTGTGAGTCGTGGGGCTTCCAGGGCTGGGAGAGAGGGAGAGAGGGAGCGCTAAGAGGAGCTGCAGAACGCAGAAGGGGTCCCCAGGGAGGGTGGAACCTATCACAGGAAGCTGAAGAAAGGATCAGCCACTGCCGCGTGGCCCTTCCTGCGGAGAGACCGGTAAGGCCACCGCACCGGGGGTGGGGGGTGGGTGGGAGGTGGGTGTGTGTGGAGAGGGGACGATCGTGTAGGGTCAGGCTCGTGAATGGACCGAGCGTACTAGGCGTGGCTAGCCAAGGTTCCTTGGGTAATGCTGCCCTGCCCCGCACCCCCCGCCCCCCCCAGCTGGCCCTGCCTGCCTCACCCTGCACTGACAGATACTTCTTGTGGCAATGCTTGTCGTGGCTGCGTCGGTCCTGCACCTCGCACACGTAGTCACCTTCGTGCTCGGGCGCCACGTGGGGGATGGTCAGGCTGAGCGTGGCATGGCGCACTCCCGGAGCCGCTTCCTCCAGGCTGCCCGCCAGAGGAGTGGCAAACAGATGCACGTTCTTGCAGTCGAGTAGCAGCGGATTCCCGTGAGCGTCATTCAAGGTGGACAAGTTGAGGCGGTACCAGCGCAGGTGTTCATATGTGTAGTTGTCTGCCAGGCAGCTCAGGCGCACGGTCTGGCCCTCCAGGGGCTCCTCCGAAGGCTCGGACTCAATGCTGAAGCCATCTGGGATGGCTGAGAAGCGGAAGGACGCTGTGCCAGGGGCTGCTTGTTTACCCGACTGCCTAGGGGCTCTGTCCCCACCTGACAGCCTTAGGACTCATCCAGCTCTCAACCAGGGTGTGACTCTAGACCAGCTGGGGGTGGGGGGGGAGGCAAGGAGGGGGCGGGCCTCCTCCTGTCCTCCCTCCTTCTCAAGCCCCAACTGGGGCTTCCCTCCACAGGAGCCTTGATCACTGACTTTTCAGGAGCCCAGGTTGCCATCCTCCCTGGCTGCTGACCACGCTCCACCGCTTTCCTCGCCTGGACACAGTCTTACTGTTTCATTAGCATTGTAATGCCTGGCTACCGATTTCCTTTTTGACCCTCTGGTTATTTCTCACTAAATTTCTGTGGCCCCTCTTCTCCCTAACCCCTCAAGGTGTTCTCTCTGGCTCCTTCTCTTTTCCAGGTGCTGTTCTCTGCACCTCTGGAGCCAGACCTATCCTTCCAAAGAAGATGCTTAGTTCTCTTAAGGTAAGTAGTACATTTGAAAATTGGAAGATAGCATGGACCTTCTTCCCAGGACGGAGCACACATGTGAGTGAACCACCTCACAGGACCTAGGGCTTGGGGAGAGAGGTGAAGCTAGGTGGGTCTGTGGGGAGGAAGAGGCACCCAGGATTGGCGCCTCCAGCGTTTGGGGCACTAGGTGCTGTGTGAGCATAAGGGCCAGCACCCCAGTCCATGTGCTATATCTGTCCCTCCTGCCTAGACTCATCTCTCCTGGGTGCCCCATGGTGACCAGAAACAACTCCTCAGGGATGCTTTCTCCTGTCCCTTTGGTTCCTCACTGCCACCCAGGCCTGCCCAAACCACTCACTGGTCACGTAAAAGTAGATGAGTCGCTCATCCTGGCCCACTTTGTTGAAGACCACGCACTTGTACATCGCGGACACATTGGCATCCTGGATCACCAGCTTGCTCACGGTCTAGACAGGACACAGGCATGAAGCCCCATTCCTTGACCCTTTCTGCAAGGAAGCCTCTGTGCCCTCCAGAGTGATGGGGAGCAGAGGCGCTGGCTACTGATGACCAAAGTTGAGAGACAGGATCAGGAATGGTGAGGCAGGGAGGAGAAGGCGAGGCTCTCGGGCAGCCGAGAGATATGGCTCTCTGAAATGTCAAGGGACAGCTCTATGGACAGCTGGCCCTGGCTGTGGCTGAGGCCAGAGGGTGACATTAGGCAGGGTCAGACAGACCTCTAGCTGTGGGTGGGCTCAGCATGTGGCCATGTTAAGGACGGGACAGAAACCTGGTGGCACTGTGTCAATCTAAGCCAGAGTTAAGGTTCAGGTCGTGGTCATATCATGAGTCAGGTGTGACCCGAGGTCACACTACAGGGATTCTTGTGATGCACCCACATTTGCCCCAGGGCTGCTCATAACACCTTTCCCAGTGCCTTGGGTAGGGTCAGGTGGGGGCTGGGTCCCTAGCTTCCATAACCACTCGCATCGGGGAAGTAGGAAGCTGGGACGCAGGGGAGGAGGGAGGACTGCAGGCCCTGCCTACCACCCAAAGACCCACCCCCACTCCAAGCTGGGCACTTCCTGGCCAGGCCTGGAACAGGAAGAGGCTCTGGAGGTGTGTAAGAAAACAGGAAGTGACTGTAGGAAGTGGGTGCCTTTGTTTGGTCCCCCTCCCCCTCCTGGTCTCTTCTAGGCATTGCCCTCAGCAGGGCCAGCAGCTCAGCAGCCTTGCCAGGGCATCTGGCTGGCTCCTGGCCTGTCCCATCCAGTCTGAGGGCCTGTGGGCAGCGGGGGTCCATGCTTGGTCAGGCAGCCTTGAATCTCAGCCTGCCTGACGGGGGAGCAGGGATATCTGGTCCACTCCCCTGCAGGCAGGAGCGCTGAGGCCCAGAGACATTTTGGAAAGGCCAAATCTCAGCAGCTACCCCTAGAGTACTGTGGGCTGGTGGAAACCCAGCGAAGCCTGCTGCTTCCTCCTGGCCTCTCAGCAGCTTGGCTGAGCTGTACCTTATTCTTTCCCTCCACAAACTCGGTCCAGGTGTCCAGGCTCTCAATGGGATTCACAGCATCTTGCACAGTCACCTCCCTCCAGTCCCGGCACTGTGGCATTCCGTCTCGCTGCTGCCTCTGTCTGCTGGGAATAGGGGACAAGCGTAGGTCAGGGATATGGGCCGGAGGGGCTTGGTGGGTCAAGTCTGTCGTGCCCCCAGCCCCTCAGATGCTAGTGGGTAAGGGGGGGTATGAGGCCAGGGAGGACTCAGACCCGCACCATCTTGCACGAGCAGGGTTGGTGTCCCCCACTCTATGCTCAGGGCTGCAAGCAGTCCTGTGAGGCAGTCCTGGTGTAGACAAGGGTTTGCTGACCACAGAACACTGGCTCTGGGGCCACCCCCAGCCCGCTGTGCTGACCCCACACCAGCATGTGCCCCTTCATGCAGAGTCTACCCAGGTGGGCCAGGGGCAGCAAAGTCAACGGGCCTGCTCCAGGAAACCCTCCCTTCTCCCTTCCAGAGCTGCAGCCCCTCCCTGGGCCGGACACCTTTGTTCTTGTAAGGGGATAGCATGACCCTGGGGGGAGCAGAGCAGCCCTCCGGACATGTCAGTCGGTGCCCAGCATAAGGGTGGAGCATCAGAGGAAAGCAGATTTGGAAATGCCAGTGGTGACCTGTCGCGTCATGGTCTGGAAGACTCTCCCGAAACCGGGGCGTTGTGGGCGGGTCAGCTGCACAGCACCCTGGAGCCTCTCCCACTGATCAGACGGGAGCCACAGCCTCCCTACAGTGCTGCTGCCCTGTCTCTTTCTGTTCCCAACCTGCCCACAAGGACCTACTGCTAAATGGCAAACGTGGCCTGTCACTCCCCAGCCTTCCTGAAGGCTGCCCACACGTGCCCTCCTCTCCTGGCCCTGCTAGTGCAAGATGGCGGGGCTCTGAGTGTGGCCGGCTCAGGGGAGGGGCGTGCAGGTGGACAGGTTCCGCTGCTCGCAGCTCTGACCTCAGGAGTCTCACCCCTCCCCTGACCTTGAATTTCCTCCTCTATAAAGGGTCACTGTGAGTGCCATGCAGAGGAGCCAACACGCATTGGGCCTGTGAGGCTCAGGGAGTCTTGTGCAGCTGGCACAGGCTTGTCTGCTTGGTGGGAGCCCTGGGACCCAGGAGCACGTCCCTGGTCCTCTCTGGATGACGCAATCATGCATCAGAGTCAGGGCGCTGCCCTGGACTGCTACAAGGGCGGGTGTGTGCGCTGCTCAGAGAGGTGGTCACAGACTGGCTACCGTGGAATCGTGGTCGGGTTGGAGTTGAGAGCCAGACTCACAGGAGGAACACAAGACTTTGGGGGGTCATGGTTGAGGTCGAGGGCAGGGTGCGAAGTAGGAGAGGACAGGCCAGTGCACACTTACAGGCTGCGCTGGGTGAAGGTCTTGCAGGGTGTCCATGGCCTCCAGTGCCACTGCACGCTGAGAGGAGGGGGGACCCCATAGGCCGTGCAGGTGAGGGCCTGGCGACTGTGGCGGGAGTAAATGCTGGGGGAGGAGGCCTCCTTCTCGTGGATGTGGGGGGGTACTGGGGACACAGGCAGACAGCAGGTCAGTGGTCCTCGGCACCACGCCTGCTGCCTTGAGCAACATGTCCCCTCCCATCGGGCACAGCCTTACCATTGACCACCAGCTCCAGGCTGATGTTGCACCTCAGGCCAGCTGCGGAGTTCCACAGGGCGAGGGTGTAGATGCCTGCACTGGCCTCCGACACCTCCTTGAGCACCAGAGCATGTGGACTGTGGCGCCCAGATACTGCCTTCCTGTCTTTGTACCTGGTTCAGGAAGGGAGTTCAGGGGCCTGTGTGGACCCTGCCCCAGCGGCCCTTTCCTGCCCCACCCCGGTCTCTACAACCAGAATATAGAGTTCGAGGCAGAAGGGAGCCAGGTGCCCGGTTCTGATGGTCAGAGCAGCTGCCCCTCCGGGACCAGGTCAGAGGGCTACTGGGGAGGGTTCTGGGGCACAGGGTGGCTCACTCCAGTCTGGGGAGCAGATGGCCTAAAGCCTCTGGGGATGGTCTCCAGCCTCCCCCTGCCATGTCACATACACCCCCCAGAGCAGGGAGTTACTGTTCCATGAGGCCCCATCTCTCTGGCCTGCTTATGGCCCAGGCCAGCCTTCTGCAGGCTCAGAGGCCCAGCTTAGGAGGATCCTGCCCACCCTCTTGGGTTGTAGATCTCGGTCTCCTCCAGTCCAGCTGAGCTTCAGCTCCCGGGACCAACCACAGTGCCCAGTGGGCCTGTCTCCTCCTCAAAGGCTTGGGTGGTGTCTGCCATGATGTGGTGAGGTGCAGTTCCCAAAGTGCACAGTCCCTGTCTTTACCAACCTGACTTGCCCTTCCTGGAACTCTCTGGATGTGCCCCACCCCGTCTGCACTCACTGCCCCGACTTGGATACTCAGGGTTCTAGAGACACCGGCCTGGCTCCCTCCCTTGTACATTCCCTCAAATACCACTATCAGGCAGAAAAGGCTCCCCCATGCTGGGCCTGTCTGCCCAGCTGCTCATCTGCACCCTGACTTTCACACGAGTCTGTTGGCTGTCCTGTCTTCCCCAGTCTGCCCCTACTGCCACGCTCCCAGATGTTGGGCGGCACCTGGCACTTGTTGGGGCTCAACACATTTGCTGATGTGTGAAGAAAGGGATGTTTCACACCCAGAAAGGCAGGAGATTCTGGATTCTATATGGAAACCCTCCTTCCGTCAGGTGCCTACCCAGAAAGGTGCTGGGAGAGGCCCAGGCCTTAGGCAGAGGACAGTGGCCAGTAGGAGGCTGGTGTTCTTAACTGGGACTCCGAAGCTGGGGCCTGGAGGGAAGGACCCGACCCCTCTGGGCCATGGCAGGACGGGTCAGGACCAAGTCCTGGAGGCTCTGCCGCAGGGTCCCAAGTCTGCCGCCTGCCACCTCTTGATTGTCGGCGAGGCCCTTTACTGCCTCAAGGCTAGACCCTCTCTGAGAGCTGAGCAGGGCCACGCGCCTTCTGGAGGGGCGTGCGGCCGAGGGCTGGGGATTTGCCCCAGCACCGCGCTGGGCACATGGCCTGTCTGCACTACCCTCCACCCGCTCACCTTCTCATTGTACGTTATCAGTGACAACCCAGAAGGGTGCCCCTGAGGGCTATGGCGACCACTGGCTCCTGGGGCGGTGACTCAGGGACAGTGGGCCCCGCGGAGCATTTCTTAGAGACAGGTGAGAGAAGAAAGGCCTGATATGGTGGGGCTGGTGCAAAGCGGTCTGGACCAGAGGCAGGATGGGCAGAGCTGCCCAGTCCTGCTGGCCTCAAGGGCAGGGCCAGAGCCCCGGGTAGGCGGAAGCTGCAGGCTGCCTCAGGGCCCTGCAGGACTGTCCCATGGGCCCTGCAACAAGTATCCCAAGTGGGCCCCAAATCCTGTGGCCTCAGAGGGAGGTCAGGACTGTGAGAGAAGAGATGCCCACTTTCAGGCTTCAGTCAGTGTGAGACCAGCTCAGGGTGTTGAGGCTCCTGCATGCCAGGCTCTGGCTTAGGGAAGGTTGTCCTGCCTGGAAAGAGGAGCCCCAGGCTGGAAGGGCGAGGTTTCCCTGACCAACTGGGAGGATGCTTGGAGCGCAGGAGGAAGGCCTTCCCCTTCCAGGTCTCTGTGCCCATGTACAGTGAGGGTCAGGGGTCACACCTGTGACCTACCTCCCATAGTTGGGTTACTTGGATTGTTCAGGTGGTCCAAGGGGCTGTGTGTGTGGGTGTTGTGCTGTTCCCAGCTCTTGGGAGCACCTAACAAGGATGACACCACTGCTGAGGGACCTCGCACTGAACCCCAGTACGCCCTGCCAGGGAGGCTCACACTCAGGTCACAGACTGGAACCTGTGGGGCCTTGGCAACGTTTGCTTGCTGCTACACAGCCCAGGCCCAGCCCGGTCTGGCTCTGTGATGGTCTCTACAGCTCTTTGACGTCTCTGAATTTTTATATAAGAGGGCCTTGGGATGCAACCTGTTCAGAGAGAAGCCTGGGAAGCCTACCTAGAACTGTAACCTGGGGACAGGCCAGACTCTGAGATACCCTCCAGCTTGCAGGGCCCTGACATGCTGGGCAGAGGCAGGAAACAGATATACACTATGCCTACCACACCCATCGATAATAGGCCAGTGTTTACAAGCTTTCACAGTCGAGCAACAACGCAGGCCAACCTTCTCTCTGGCTCAACTGTTCCTGGGCACCTTCCTCAGAGTATCTTCAGTGGTAGCCCTGCTGGGGCCTCAGGGCACAGGGCACTGGGGAGGATGGGTCCCATCTAGATCGCAGGGTACAGGCCCTGATGGGGAGGGGCGCTGCCTGCCTGCCCCATGGCTTGTTCTCATGCTGGGCTGGGCGGGGAGTTAGGGCTGGTACCATTGGAACTCCGGCGGCGGGTATGCTGCCAGCTTCACAGGCAGCTTCACCAGCTCGTCTCCAGCTGTGGCCTCTAGGACGGGACCCTTGAGCCACTCAACACTGATGAAGGGTTTTTCTGCCAGGTGGAAGGAATCAGCTTTAAGTGGGGCCTGCTGTCACTGACCCACGACTGCCCAGGGATTCCCAGCCGTGACCTGTGCACCCCCAGGGTTCAGATGATTGCAAACTTTGGAAATTGGGGGGGAGCGGTGCCCACGCTGGCTGGACTCCCAGAGGTGCAGTGTATACTGCTGGGCTATATCGTGACCTCTGACTCCAGGCACTCCCACCCCCACCCCCAGGCTAGAGCAGTTAACTGACCCAGCCCAGGCCATTCTGGTCACGACAACCTGCCCGTGGCCGTACCGTGCACAATGACCTCGGTGCTCTCTTGAAACTGCTGGATGCCATTGTTGGCCTCACACACGTAGGGCCCCAGGTCACGCTGGCTGACGTTGTGGATGGTCAGGATGCTGGAGAGCTCTGTGTGAGTCTGCTGGGAGCGCCGCTCCGGCACCCACTTACCCCGCTCTGCCTGCCCGTGCCCAGGGGAAGCCCAGGGTCAGAGCATGCAGGCTCTGGAGAACTGGCTTCCAAAGGCACACACCCCAGCCCAGCCTGCAGAGCTTCCCAAAGCTGAATGCAGGCCCGGAGTTTCCTTGGGGCAGGAAGACATCCCCGCCAGACCTAGACTCTCGGACAGGACTGGGCTCCAGCAGCTCTAGAGGACCGGGCACACTGGGCAGGGGCGGGGACGGCGGTGGGTGCTGCAGGATGCTGTGGGTGGTGGCAGGGGCTCCGGGGACGGCCGGGGCAAGGCTCCTGGCTGGGCTGCTGGCCTCACCTGCTTCCCGGGATAGTCCCAGTCAAAGGTGACGCCGGAGTTGAACTCAGCCCACACCGTGCAGTTCAGGACCAGTTTCTCCCCGACCAGTAGCTCCAGCGACTTCTTTGGGAACAGCTGGATGTCATAGAGCTCATTGCCTGGTGACACACACACAATGATCCCCACACCCCTCGCAGGACAGTGCACAGAGTGCAGGGCACAGGTGCCCGAGAGCCCCATTCCTGGCAACTGGTGGGCTCCGTCCTCCCCGGCAGTGCTCGTCCCAGGACCTGGGGTGTGGTCCCTGGGTCAGGACCCTCCTGTCTTGGGTGGTCCCTACCTGTGATGTGCACAACGAAGGGATTGGATAGGAAAGTCTGGTCGCCCCAGGTGGTCTCGCACTGCAGGTACAGGGCGTCGCGCAGCAGTGGGGTGGGCACACGCATGCCCCGGCGGTCGTCCCACACCACCTCCTGCCCATCAGGCTGCAGTACTGAGCTTTGCTGCAGGGACATGGTGGCCATCAGTGCCCGGCTGCTCCTTCCTCCTGGCCAGACCTGCAGCCACCTTTCCCAGGAAGAGGACAGAGGGCTGGAGCCCAGGGAAAGGGGTGGGCGGGGTTTTACCGAGCGCAGTGTGACGTTGAGTCCTGGGAGGGACACCTGGCAGGGCACCCACATAGCATCCTTCCTGTTGACCAGGAGTGTGCCCGGCTTGTTGATGAAAGGCTGCTCCAAGTCTGAGGAGAGAGGGTAGATGGTGGAGGGGAGTGGGGCTCAGGGGTTCTCTCCCCAATGTGGGGGCAACCCCATGGGCTCTACAGGCTGGGAAGGGGGTGCAGTTTCCATGACCCTGCTCTTGTCTGATGCTTGACTGACGGTGGGAGCGGGTGGGGGGCTTCTCACCTCTCACAAACACGTAAGTGCTGGCAGCGGTGGTGCCTTCGATGCGGGCCTTGATGTACTTGTAGTAGCAGAGGTAGCGGCCCGTGTTGTCGGCGCGGGCCTCACGGAGCAGCAGCACCTTGCAGTAGGGCCTGGCGTCTGTGCCCTCACAGTCCTGTACAGCCCCGGGGTCCTCGTGGTCCTTCTCCCCAGGGGTCAGCACCTCCTGAGCCCCTGGCCAGGCCCACGCTAGGGGGTGCTGACCCCTGGAGGTGGGACAACAAGAGATCCTGGTTGCAGTCTCCGAGGACAGCCCCTCTGGCACCTCCTCCTCGGAGCCAGGCCCTGCCCATCCGTATTCCACTTAGAGGCTAGGACAGCTTAACGCTCAGGCACACGCGTGGGCCGAGCCCGGGCGAAGTACTCCCGAGCACCCTGGGACCTCTGCGTGGCTCCCAGGCCTGCGTGTGGCAGCTCACAGAGCGGCCTGGGCCTCAGACCGTAGCTGGGGTTGCAGGGAGGGTAACAGGGTTGGGGTTCTGTGGGTGGCTGGAGTGAGTGCAGGAGTCCTGGGTCTACACAGGTGAACTGGGGAGGCCGGGGATCAGTGTGGAGAGACCAGGGATGGATACAAGGTGACTGATCTGAGGCCCATGTGAAATGATGAGGACTGAGTGTGGGTGGGGTGGGGGTGGGCGCCTGTGTCTGCAGAGCAGGGGTCAGTCTGTGCCTTAGACACCTCAGCAACCTGGGGACTCCACTAAGCCTTCAAGCCTTGAGGCCCCGGAGAGGCTGCCCTTTGGGTTCCCTGCCACCACCTCCTCCCTGGGCTTTCTCCAGTCTGCCTGCTGGGAGGAGAGACCCAGGCCACTGCTCGCCTGGCCAAGGGCTGAGTACCTGCAGGAGATGGAGAGGCTGTCGCTGGAATTGATGATGTGTGTCTCTTCCGTGATGTTCAGGGTTGGGGGGGTCATGGAGTAGCCACTGGCTAGGCCTAGGATGGAGGACAAGGTTAGGGTGGCCCTGGGTTGTGAGTTCAAGGGATGGCATAGATCCTTCTGCAGGGCAGGAAGATGGCATAGATCCTTCCCTGAGCAGCACCTGCAAGGCCCAAGACAACCAGAAACCGCCACCTCTGGGTGCCTCCTGCCCACTGGTAGGCCCAGTGAGTGCTGACCGACACCTGAGCTGAACTCTGACCTCTGATGCCTCATGGGTGGAGTTGCCAGCATGAAATTGTAGGGGAGACCACCGGCCTCATCCTACACTGGGGGAAGCATGAAGCACGTGACCTTGGCATGGGGACCTCCGCCTCTGCTGAAGGCTGCGCTCTTCTACATACAGAGCCACGGCCACACTCGAGAGGTTCCTGCACAGTGCAGACCCTCCCTAGATATACCCACAACCAAGGGCCCCAGAGACCCCTGAAATTCTACCCTTGACCGTGTCCCCTCTCAGGTTCCATGGAGTCCAGCTTGGGTGTCCTTTTGGCCACGTGCCTTCCGGTGCCCAGCCCCTCCTTGTCTCCCGTCTCAGGCCCCCATTCTTTCTACAGGACTCTTCCCCAGACACACAATTCTGCCTCACCTAGTTGAAGAACTTTTCTCTTGTGGCCTGCAGGGCCGCAGCCCTGTGCCAGCAGCTACCCACCATCCCAGGGGAGTGTGCACATCCCGGGGCAGCCCGTGCGTGCAGTGGCTCTGGACGGGGGCTGTGTGTGTGCGGGGCGGGCCTGTGTTGCCTTGCGGGCTTTGTGTGCTTGTGCCTGTGTGGGTTTGACGTGTCAGCATGTGCACACACATGTGGGGGATCCCGGCAGGGGCAGAGTAGGCCCTGGAGGAGGCGTGGACCTGGAGCCCTGGCAGATGCATCCTGCCAGGACCATCCCGAGACAACAGGAAGAGAGGACTGTGCGGCCAGGGGTCCAGGGCTGTGTCCTGTCCCTTCCCCCACATCCCTGTCCTCCTGGGGTGCACAGTCCACTCCTGTCCCAGCCCCCAGCCCCTTTGAATCCACAGGTCAAACTGCCCTCCCCAGCTCAGCTTCCCGAGGCCTGGGGTCTTGCTTTGGCAGCTACGGGTGAAAGGCAGAGCCTGGGGTCCCCTGACCCCAAGCTGCTCTGGGAGGATGCACAGGGTGGCCGAGACCTCCAGCCAGGCCCCCACCTTTCCATTTAGATGCTACTGCACCGTGGGGCAGAGCTGGAAGGCTCACACCAAGCACTAGTCCCACTGTATAGACGGGGAAACAGGCCCCGAGCCAGACTGTACAGGGAAACAGCCTCTGGCCTGCCGCTGTGACCACTGCAGAGTCCTTCCTGACCTCAACCCAGAGTACTGGCTCGTGGCCCTGTGTTGGGACCTGAAAGCAGGAAGGTGGCCATGGAATCTGCCCCACGGGGCTGCCCCATATGGGCTCCAGTCGCAGGTTCTTCCTAGGCGGGTGTCGGCCCTCGTGCACGCCCGGCCCCCACTACAGATCCCAGGGCAGCCGGCAAGGTGAGCCCAATCGGGAGGAGGTGGTGAGGGGCCGGGAAGGAAACCGACCTGGGTCTTGTGGGAGTAGGATGGTCCAGCAGAGAAGATGAACAAAGCCATGCCAGGCAGACAGCTGGCCTCTGGCATACAGGGGAGGGCAGATAATGCGCCCTCCTGCGGGGAGTGAAGAACTGGTCCTCCCAACAGACCTGTCGGGGGTCAGGTCTGAGGCTCAGTGTGGGCGCCAGAGGAGAGGTTAGTATCCACCTACCCTGAGCCATGCACGCTCCACGATGAGGCCCGGCTGCTCCCCGGGGAGGCCGAGTGCCCCCTTTCCTGGGGGCACATCCACAGCTGTGGGGCTATAGTAGATGTTAACCAGCCTCCATGGGAAGGTCCCCTGTGCTTCGCAGAGGAACAGGATACTCCAGGCTTCTCCCTCTGTCCATCCCCTCTGTCCAGCTTTACTGCCTGATGCATCTCAGAAATATTGTCCCAAGTGGAAGGTCTTTCATGTCTTGAAGTCTGCTTTTGCTTATCTTTTTGCCAGGAACATCAGATGCTGCCCCCCACCCCTGAAGGTACTCCTCTTTAGGGTCTAGTTCCTGCACCCACTTCCTAGGGAGCAGTCAGCCTTACCCAGGCAGCACGGGCCTCCTGTTAACAGCTCAAATACCCATTTTCTTGTTGCATCTGGACAGAGGCTGTGTTTTACTTATCCTTCTAAGCCAAGTACAGAGAAGATAACACTGAAGACTGAGGGGACGGGCTTGGAATAGCAGGGCAGACGATGATCAGATGACTAAATAATGGATGTGGGTGGCTACTGGCAGGGTGGCCAGGTAGATGGGTTCTCCAAGATGGATAGTGGATAGATGGGTGGTGGGCGGGTGGGCTGATGGGGACAGCGAATAGGAGAATGGGGGGGATGGATGGATGGAGGGTTAGGTAAGTGAGGGCTGGATGGGGGGGTTTGTGGATGGGCAACTGGGTGGGGGCTGGTGGTTGGATTGACGGGTACTTGGGTGGGTGGATGGTGGGTTGACCGTGGTGGGTAGGTGAATGGGGCAGTGGCACCTGCCGGAACATCCTCCCAAGAGGAAGTGCCGCATCACTGCTAGGCAGGGACCCATCCTTCATGCTCGCCAACCCTGTCACCTATTGTGTGAGCCTCTCCTCTGTCGTCACACACCCAGGCTGGCCTAGTGCCCGTCTGTATTCACTCACTTCCACTGGTCCCGTGTGATCAGCATTTAGTGAAGTGGCCTTCACTAAATCCAGCCTTCCTATCTTCCCTGAAACGTGGCTTTTTGAGGGTACCTCTGCCCCTGGGGCGGTATTGCTCCCCCCACGTGCTTGGCAGCAGTGGGCTCCTGGGGCACCTGCCCTCCCTGCAGCACCACCTCCTCACCAGTAAAGCTGATGCCAGGGGCTGGCCTCACTCCCCTTGTTCTCTGCTCTCAGCTCTCTAGCCCCCTCTGTCCCAACACCCACATGGGCAGCTCACTGGCACCCTGGCCTTTCCTCCTCTGCCCTCCTCTTGCCTGGACAGCCCCTGACCCGGCCTCAGCAGAAACTGCCACCACCACATGCCTGCCTTCCCCCGCTGCTCCCTGCCTCCTGCAGTGCCGTGCCTGCCTCTGAATCCTTCAGGGGCCTCCTCTTCTGCTCTTGCTCCCGGCCTCACCCAGCGTCCCAACCCATTATTCAGATCGCCCCTTGCCTCTTGTCTTGCACCCCACCCATGCAGGAGCAGCAGTGCCTCAGTGGCAAAGCCGGACTCCCACGCCGCCGAATCCCCTGTCTCACTGGCATGGCCAGAACCCGGCCCTTGGGCTGCACGTCGGGGCAACCCTTCTCCCTTCCCCTTGGCATTCATGAGTAATGACGGATAAGCATGTCACCTTCCTACATCCCAGCCCTGTCCTTGACGGGGACCCTGGAAGCCCTCTGACACTCCCACCCCCAAGGTCAGATCCTTCGTCACGCCACAGCCCCTGGACCTGACTTCTGCTGATCATTCTTTTTTCTCCGGATTCCCAGTCTTCTCCTGGAATCATGTCCCATTTTATAAACAAGCTTCCTCCCCCGCCTCCCCACCCCATTCCTTGTGATTCTCTTCACAGCTAAATCTTTGCTACTGTTCCCCTCATCCTCCAAAATCTCATACGGTTCCACCAGATCCTCTCAACTCTAGCTGCCCGCAGACGCGCTACGTCGCACACCCCCACTGCTAACCTCCAGACTCGCACACTCCCTCCCTGCCCAGGGCTCCCCCCTCGTCCCCATGGAAGTGCCGAGGTCACCCATTTCTCCCACAGTAGCCCTTTCACTCACCACCAAAGAGCCAGTCTCTACTCTAGCAGGCTGGGGTCTACCCTACTGTCCTTGCTCCCCACGGGGTCCCCCAAGTCTGCTCTTGTTCTGCAGTCTGCCACACAGCTGCTAGTGACAGGTAAAACCTGCTGATGCCTGAACCTCTTTAGGACTTGACACTGTGCTTTCAGGAAAATCCAAACTCATGGTATCTCTCACCGCCGTTCACGCTCATGGCAGTCTTTCAGCCTCCATGGCCGCCGGGTTGTCCTTGCCTCGCTGTGTGCATTCCCACCTGGGGACTTGGCACCCTGCTTCCTCACTGACCCCCTCGGACATGTCCTGCAGTGTCAGCTGCTTCTCAGCTTAGACACGACCTCCTCACCCCGCTAAAACCTAAATCACCCCAAAGCTCCAGCTTAGTCCCACTTGCTTGCTGTAGCCTTGTCATGATTTGTAATTACCTTTCCATTTTCTCCACTCGGCATCAAGTTTTAACTGGGGTAAGAAACAAGACAAGACTACTCTAGGCTAGCTCAGCACCTAATGACTCAAGGGTCAATAAATGTTGAATGAATAAATGGATGGACAGAAGGGCAGACAGGTGGCTGACTGGCTAGGTGAAAGTAAGGGCAAATGAATAAAAGGATAGATGGACGGAAGCAAAGGTGGGCAGAAGAATAGGTAGTAGAAAGATGGACAGATGGCAGAAAGACAGAGGACACATACGCGCGTGTGTGGATATGTGGCATGGTAGATGGAGGATGAGCAGGGGACAGACAAGATGGATGAGTGGAAGGATGGAAGGAAGGATGGCAAGATAGGGGACGGAGGAAGGATGGATGGATGAGTGGGTGAGTGGGTGGATGGATGGAAGGAAGGAGGCGGAGTGGGTGGGTGGGTGGAAGGCAGGTGGGTGTGTGGCTGAGCAGTCGGCTAGACAAAGGGGGGTTCTTCCTTTGCAAAATAAGTTTTTAAAGGATAGGCTTCCTGATGGCCATGCGTGCCCCAAGAGGCTGGGGCAGATTCGGGCCTGAGGGCGGCCGTGCCCGGACTCCACGCTGCCCAGCCCCCCTGCCGCCCCGAAGAGGGTGCATCCTTCCTGCCTGGCTGTTGTCTGTCCCTGCTGTCCGTCCCTTCCGCAGCAGGAAGCACTGTCATCCTGGCCTCTGCTGCACTCCTGCTGCCTTCCTGTTCCTGG